AATATTAACTTTTTATTTACAAGTATAAATATTTCAACTCTGTTTTTGTGATCTTCACTATACCAAAAGCTGTTACACTGGAACTGATGTTGTCTTATTAAATAAACTACTTTTTAAATTCAGTTTAGCAATGACATTTATGAAACAATTAGAAATTTGAACATTGACTGGTATTATGAAGATGTTACATTTTTAGCTGTGATAATGGTATTGTGGTTTTGTTAGGAAAAAAGTATCCTTATCTTTTTGAGATTCCTACTGAAATATTTATAGATTAAATGCTTTATCTGGGATTTGATTCAGAATAATTCTGGAGGGGGTAAGTGGGTAGATGTTTAGATGAAATAACATTGGTCATGAGTTAACAATTATTGGAGCTGGATGTGGAGTATGCAATATTCTATTTTTACATATGTTTGAGATTTCCTAGAACATTTTAAGAAATCTAACATTAAGTATTAAGTTTGTATTATGTGCAAGACATGGTGCCCTGTGTTGCAGAAAATAGATGCTTCACAAGTGCCAGGGAGTTTGCTTGCCTTTTGCAGTGAGCCCAGTGTCTGGGAAACTGTCTGCACATAGTAGGTGCCCAATATACACATGTCCTGAAATCCAGCCCACACGCTCCTCTGCAAAGGACTGCTCTATTTTCTGTTCCCACTAGTGGCAGCCCTGATGATGTGCTCCAGAGAGAGCAACAGACCAAGTACCATGTGGTTTGAAGGAGAGTAAAGTTCCATTCATTCAGGGATTGTGAAGGGGCTTCTGTGGAGTTCATGGGAATTGACATTGAGGTGCCTGAGATAAAAAAACATCCATCACATCTGAGACAACATTTCTAAGCAAAGTAAAATGGCCCCTTTAATTTAACATGAGTTATTTCTTTTAGGAGCCTGTTCAGGAGTTGTTAAATGGTAAGAGGAGTAACTCAAAAGGTTATGGGGGGTGGGGAGGTGGCGGTCGGGGGGACTGTCTTAGAAATAACCAGTCCTCATCTGCTCTCTCTGAGCCTGTTTTGTTTAGAGTCCAGAATAATATAATGCCCACAAATGTGCTTAATGAATGCTTTCTCATGAAGAAGAGTAGATGGTGTCATAAGAAAGAAGAGAATCAGAATTGGAAAATTATCAAAGGAAATGTCAAGAATGCAGGGGGATATATTGGTTCTGTGGGTATGTTTGAGTGATTAGTTAGTTCAGAGGCAGAGAAAATCATGTCTTAATGTTTGCATGCAGGTGTTAGTATAGTTGCTCAGAACGAGAAGAAAAAAAGATTAAAAAAAAAAAAAGCTAGTCACATCTTGACTAGATGACTCTTTTGAGAAAGCATCAATGTTACATTACAAACACCATTCAAATCTACCAAATGGGCCAGATGGTTGCCCAAATACTGCATGTTACCAGCTGCCCATTGCTACAGATGAAGTCTTTTCTGCTGACGCTTGTGTAACCCACAAGCACATTATGGAGTGTTGATTCTTTTGATGGTGTTTAACTTTAATGTGTCATCATAATTATAAACCATAAATATACATGACACTGTGCAATAAATAAAATTGCTCAGCTTTCATTCTGAAGGGGGAGGAGGCTGTATTTATTACCTGAGAAAAGAGGATGTCTAATGTTCATTTCCCATTCTTTGTAAATGTCAGTCCTCTCTAGTTGCATGCTGTAGGTTGCTTTACACTCACCAAGCTTTATCCCTCCCAAACAGCACAGACTCCTGAGGCTAATATATATTGCTAGACCCCAGATTTTAGAGCAGGCCTGGACCAAAAGTCAAGGGAATACAATTCAAGAGAATCCAGTCATTTTGTTGCTCAAAACCTTTTAATGATTGTTTATTGCCTACTGTGGAAGGTGAAACTCTAAGACTATTGTGTCTTAGCCCGACTTTCAAGTTCCGGCATGGCCTCAAATCACATTTTCAGTATTATATTTCTAATTTCAGTATTATATTAATAATTTCAGTATTATATTTCTAAACATCCTAATTTCCAGCCACTCAGATATGGCAGTTTGTGCAGCTGTGTGTTTATCTTATTGAAACTCCTAGAAAGTAAGCTTCTGTTACACCCCTATATCTCTTCATACAATCAACTCTAGTCCTTTGCTGTCTCCTAGCTGTGTGACCTCGGGCAAGGCACTTAGTCTCTCTGTGCCTCTGTTTCCTCGTAGGGTTGTTGTGAGGATTAAATGAATGGAAATGTGTCGAGTGCTTAGAAGGGTGCCATTATAAGACCCGAATGGTGTTAGCTATTATTTCCTCACCCCCAGTCACTCTTCAGCCCCTCAAAGTCTGGCTTCTGCCCTGTACTTCTTGAATAACCCACTCTAAAGTACCAGTGACCAACCAACAACCAGATCTAGTCCTTCCCGTTCCCCAGCCCTCTGCCTTTAATGAGACTCCGTGTTTGTTCTCCATTGTTCCTTGCTTCCCAGGGCTCCACCACATTGTCCTGGTTTTCTCACACCTCTCCGGCCACTTGCATTTTTGTCTCTCTTACAGGTGCTTCTTACTCTCCCCCAAAAGTTTAGACATTACCCAAAAGTCTAGCCATGGCCACTTCTCTCTCCTCCTCCGTACATGCCCCTCGACCATCATACCCTTTCCTGCAACCGATACAGATCCTTCCCGAGCCAGCCCCTGTCTGATTCCTCCTGGGGCAGCCGAACTTTCCAGATGGTGCTCGTTTACTTTCTACCTAGATGCCCTGAAGGCCCCTCGACCTCAAAATGTCAACATTCTGATTCCCACAAAACCAGTCCTTGCCTCTAAAAGACCTGTTTCCAACAACTCTGCCATTCTCCTACACCAGGCACTGAACCTCAACCATTTTGGATTTCTCCTCTCTCCCTCACCCACTGAGGCCAATCGCTCATCCCAGCCTCGCCCCTTCCTTTGCAGTGCTCATGGTCTTTCATTTCTGTTCTGTCTGCAGCCACCTGGCTGAGGTCCCCAGCTCCTGATCTGAGGGCACTGAGGACTCAGCTGGCTCTGAACCTTGGTCTGCCCTGCACCTGATTTCCACAAAACTTTTTTTCTCTTAGTTTTTATTATGAAAAATTTCAAACGTACAGAAAGTGGAAAGAATGGTACAGTTAACACCCTTATTTTCATCACTTTGATATAATTAATATTATTTTTGTGCTAAAATATAGTTTACTTATTACTAATAAATTAATATATATTTTAATACTGATATTTTGCCATATTTCCTTCTTCTAATCACATGTACACATTTCACCCTAAATACTTGAGCAGGCATTTTTGAAAATAAAGGCTTTTCCATATAACCACAACACCACTCTCACACCTGATAACTGGCATGATTTTCCTTAATAACATCCATCACCCAGTCCGTATTCAAATTTCCCCTATCTGAATGTCTTTATTGCTGATTGCTCAAACTGGACTCCACTGAAGGACCATGCATGCCACTGCATCTGGTTTTTGCGTCTTAAATGTCTTTTAATTTTGAACAGTCTTTCTCTCCTTTTTCCTAATCATGTCATTTTGTTGCTCAAAACCTTTTAATGATTGTTTATTGCCTACTGTGGAAGGTGAAACTCTAAGACTATTGTGTCTTAGCCCGACTTTCAAGTTCCGGCATGGCCTCAAATCACATTTTCAGTATTATATTTCTAATTTCAGTATTATATTAATAATTTCAGTATTATATTTCTAAACATCCTAATTTCCAGCCACTCAGATATGGCAGTTTGTGCAGCTGTGTGTTTATCTTATTGAAACTCCTAGAAAGTAAGCTTCTGTTACACCCCTATATCTCTTCATACAATCAACTCTAGTCCTTTCAAATGGTTGTTGGGGGGATGGATGGATTCATGAGGAGTTTCAGAGTGAGGACCAATCTTTCTTACAGATCTGGGAAGTGATGGTAAAGAATACGCCGTTTCAGAGGACAACCCCTTCTGTCCCCCTGCTCCTGAATGAGCTTTTATGTCCTGGTGCTATCCCAGTTGGGGGTTAAAGCTTTAATGAAGTAATGTTTCCAAATAGCCTCTGCCATTCTTACCCCTCCTGCATACTGTACTTCTGCCTATTAGGATGGGCACTCAATTCTTTTAATGCCAATATTATAAATCCCATGTGGCCCCTCGTGTAAACACAGAATGACCTCTTTACTCGTGATTAGGAGTTGCCGTATTAACATTGTAAATCACCTCATGCTGCACCACTAGGTGCAAACCACATGTGCTTCTGTCTCCTCAGTATAAGGCCACTTGTGCCTGCTGTCCAGGGGGCCATGAGCTCTGTTGGCATGTGAGCCTTCCAGTATGGCCACCCTTACCATGTCAGTCATGGTGCAGCCCAAAAAGAAGTGAAAAGTAGTGGGCTTGCCATAGAAAATACTCATGAAATGTTTGTAAACGAATAAGCAACAAGTGAATGGGTGAATAATTATCTTTTTAGCTTAGAAAACTGAGATACCCCTGGAAACAGTCACTGTCATGCTCAGACCTGACTTGGAGGCAGCAGGAGTCTGCTTTGCTCAGATGGAAGCTGTGTTCTGGTGGTTTTTATGTGCTACTTGCCCCTAGGTTCAAATCACTGGATCAAAGTGAGGTGGTTTGCAACATAAAAAAACATTATGTGCAATTTAACAGCTGACGTGTCTGTCCAAAATTCTTAGTGTTCTGCTGCCCAAGTCAGTGGAATTACTTGTTTACATGGTGTAAATGAATCAGTGATGGATTTTTACCTCTGGGAAAGTAAAGCACATGGTAGAGAAGCCAAAGTAAGTATGGATTTTGTTGTCTGGGCATATAGCCCTGCTCCTGATTCACTGATTTATTTGTGTTACAGATTTTGGTCGGTGCTGCTATTTTTCCAAGCAGCATTATGTAAGTTTTTATGGAAACACGAATTGAAAACAGCAAAATGTTACTTAGCTTGGTTCAGCAGAGGATTTCAGTTCCATTTTACAGGTTGATCATACAATTCATGGTCTCTCTCTCTCTCTCTCTTTCCCCCTCTAGGGCTTCCTGACAAGGAGAATGTGAGTAGCTACTCTTTCTGCCTAGCTTCTAAAAACTGTCATAAGGTAAAAAATAACCATGGTAACCCTACCAGCAAAGAGGGGTCTTGATCCACATTCAGCAGAGCAATAAATATTTTTCTAATCTTACTCTGGCATCTTTGGTGAGTCACTTTGAAATATAAAGGGGAGAAGGTTGACTGCTCTGACATGGTCATCGCATGTTCGTGATATTAACTAGTCTGAAGAGAGGTTATTCTTGAGGCAAATGGTACAATTGCTAAGTGTTTTCTTTTTCCCAGGATACATACATGGCAGTAGAATCATTAGCTTAACAGCACGTAGAAAGCTACAGTTGTTTTTCCTTGGTAGGAATATGAACTGTGAAATTCAGGATCAGTTGATGGATTTGCCTAATTGTATCCAAGTCAACATTTCTCTTTGGAAACTGGAAATAATGAATTGCTGTAATTGTTTCAGGAAAACAGGTAAGGGCCTAGAAGGTTTAGGACAAAGCTTTCACCGAGAAACAGTGCCAAGCATGCATTCTAAGGATGGTAGTGGTTAAGCGGCATATCTTTGCATGCAAATAATAATAGCATTAATCCTATTAACCAGAATCTAAATCTAGACAACAACATGGAAGGGTTAATGATGGAAGTATGTAGTGATTAATCTGAAATGGTGCTTGGTTGGCTCTCAGTTGTATCACCTTGTCGTTGGGCTTCTTGCTGGATGTACCCAAGTGGCAATGTTGCAGAACTGTCATCCTTTCCTTTCTCTGCTTTCAGTCCTGTGTCTGTAGGCAGATATGCCATCTTAATTAAATTCAGATTATTTCTGTATCCCTTTTTTAGAGATCTGGCTCTAGCTTTCTTTGGGTCTCCCTCTTTTCATAATATTGCTTTTAAAGGGCTGGTTGGGAATTCTGGTCTACTGCTTACCACTACAAATTTGGGATCAGGACCTAGCATTGGCAGTTCAAATGTCACAGTAAAATTTTACTTCGTTTGGTTCAGCCAAGGATTTCAGTTCTTAGCTGTGGGGCCTTGCACAAGCTACTTGATTTGTCTAAACATCCTTGTCTCATCTTTACAACATGGATGTTAGTTGTGACTACCTTAAAAAGCCATTATGAATATTGAATGAGATAATCTGTGGAAAGCATAGAGGCAAGTACAGTAAAGCTCAGGAAATGTTAGGACTGTTATTCTAATTATTATTTTCTCAAGCCTTGTAGCATTTTCTAGCTATCTTTTCCCCTCTGAAAAATGTCCTACTCTTTATAGAGTTACTGTCCTTTTGCCTTTTATGGTTCTTCTTATAATACCTTTCTTCAATCAAACTTGCCATTGATCTTTTGCTATTAAAAAAAAAAGTCTTTGAGTAAAGTTCTAGATAATCAGGCTCATGAAGATTCTAAAGCAACAAGCTTTAGAGTCTAAAGGAACAAACTATTCTGACACCATTTTGGACACAGACATCTCAACACATCCACACTGTACATAGTACACAGATCATTAGCCAAATAAAGCTGATGAAAGGATCTTGCACTTCCTCATCAAGGGACTATCAGTGATGTGGAGGGCACACACAGAATGTCCAAGCCCTGGGAGGGCTAGAATATTCTAGGCTTCAAAAGGAAGCTCCATCTCTCTAGGCACTCAGTGACCTTTAGGTTGGGTCCCCCTGCCGTGGGACAACAGGCATAAGGTTCAAAGCAGAGGGCCAACAGCTGTCATTGTGTAGCTCACTTTGTGACAAAATAGGAATTTGAAGTTTGCAGAACGTCAGATACAATGAGCTGTTAACAGCATGTTGCTCTGAGAGATTTGGGGAACTGGCCAGTCTGTGTCCCCAATATTAATAGTAGTATATGCTTATTTATATTTGTTTGGGTTATTCTAGGTCCCTTTCTCTAGCAAACAGAAAAGCACTCTTATTCCCTGTTAGCAGGTAGAGTAGATGTAGCATCACCATGTGCTATTAGGAAAGCTCTCCAGTGCCACCGAAGTAAAGCAAATGAGATGAAAGTCTTTCGTGAGTAGAGTTGAAGCTCTGCACAGATAAAAAGAAGCCTAAGAGCCTCAAAGTGGTGTTAATTGAAATTTTTTTTTCTTTATAAGAGGCAAGATGATTTCTTTTATCCTTTATCTTCTTTAACTACATGCTGGGCAATATTTTATTTCCCTTATGTTTCTGAATAACAATCATATGCCTGTGGACTGAATAAAAGCACTTAGACTATGGTCTCAGTGTTCACACAAAGAATACATTCTCCTTTCTAGCCTCTACTCATAATTTTGTTAATCACCATGTTTAACTTTTAATCAAATATGCAGATGTCAATACATCGTGATTTTAGCTGCCTTGCCAGCTATATTTTATTCTCAGAGTCAGCCTTACCTTGCGTAAAAAGAACTTTCTTTTCATAAATTGCACTTTTGTAGAAACAAATGGGCTGGCAGTTACTTGCTGGATTATTTTGTCTACTAAATACTATAATTGATAGGAACATTACTTACCATTAGATGATACAGGACACCATGTCATAGAGAAAAATATTAGAAAAACAATCAAGAAAAATATTAGAAAAACAACCATGGAGACAGTACAGCAAGTAGACTGCTTTGAAAGGGTTGTGATTGTTTGAGGCTGTTGGTTTTGCAAAGTAATTATTCTCTTTGATCTGTTTAAGTTGTATTTTTTCCCTCTTGTGTATGTGCCATACCTGACTGACCATGTTTAACACTGAAGTTAAAAATCATAAGTTCGGGGAAAGCTTTATAGTTGAATGTTACAGTTGTGCTTTTAAGGAAAGAGCTTGTAATTTTTTGCTACTTATGTAGATTTCGTTGCATATTGTGCTGCATCCTTTTGAGAAGTCAACTGCTATAAGGGTTTTGTAGTTTTAGGAGGTTAGACTTTTCATCTTCAGTGTGGAAGAAACCAGAGAAATAGACTCAGGGGAATATTACAAAATAATCTCATTACCTGATTTACAAACAGATTGTTTCTGAAAGGATTGTTTGAGGTCTTCATCTTTTAGGCAGTTATAGTATTGACAGTATGATTAGCAAGCTTCTTGCTAAATACTCA